TATAGATATTTATTATTTGTGGACGGCACTTTGGTCCATTTTAATGGATTTGAAAGTGCTTTATAAATAAAAGTTGAGTTGAGTAATTACTAGGAAAACCTTTGATTCCTGTTAACTTTGAAGATGTTAATGTCATGCTAAAATGTTTTCATCTGATGGTGACAAAAAAAAAACTTTTGTTTATATTTCATTTATTATACTTGCCAGTTACTACATTCATAAAGTCAAAAGGAATGAAAAATGCCAAATTTTGAACAATTGAAAATTGATAAAATATAATATATTTAGCAACAATATCCAAAAAAACTACACAGCTGTTTAATAGGTACGAGTTATTTCTGTCCTTTCTTTCCTTTTGTTTACCACTGACATGTATGTTTATATACACTCTCGTATGTAAATAATATTTTGTTCTTATTAAAAGGCAAACCAAAAATAAATAAGCCGTCCAGCTCTAAACACCTCATCTTGTGATTGCTGACAAAGGTCTCATTTACTTCATTCCTGCAATTTGGAAAATCCTTGTATTTGCGTCTCGCGCTGCACAAAAGGCCCATTCAGAGACGAGACGTCTGAACATGTCAAATATTTAGGTGTAATTGCGCATGCATGCTCTATAAGCGGCACGCTGGCTTTGGCTCATGTAAGACAAGTAATGGATAAACAGTGATATTCATAAGACAGCAGTTCAGCGGCCATGACAGGCCAGCTATTAATAACTCCAAAGATAGTACGGAAAAGCGTAAGAAAACAGCTAAGGGCTCTTCACAAAGAGTAAATAAACAGATCTAGAACAACTACAGCTAAACCTGGAGAATTACAGCACAAGACCCGCTACACTCATTTAAGAGCAATAAACTCTTTTGAAAACATCTTTTAAAGGGGTGATGAACTGAGAAATCAAATTTTCCTTGAGCTTTTGACATCCAAGAGGTCATCATATTATAAAAACATCCTTGTTAGTCCAATAAAAGCTTTTATTGACACCAGCCCCAGCAAACGACTCGTTTTTCAAACGACAAAGAGGATAAAACCCCACCCCCGCAGAAGAAGATCAACGCCTGCTTCAACACGGCCGGTTTAGCCCCGCCCACCGATTCGTGCATTACACATATAGCTAAATAACATAGATGCCTAACTTGTGATGACAAACCGGATCGATCTAACCAGCAATACAGAATATTGTGCAGCGCCTGATTGTGAAAGACGACAGTCGCTGACGTTCACTTCATTTCACTGAGGATTGTCCTGTAAACAAGACTGGATTTGCAGAGCAATTAAGAGTAAAGAACGGTGCTGTGCCGTCTATATTGGATCTTGTCAGGAATTGTGCAACACACGGACTCTGGGTCGAATCATTCCGGTTGCCGTTTTACAACATTGGACGTTTCAAAACAATATCCCCCAAGTGCATCGACGCGACGGGACTCATTATAATATGCGAAACTGTTCTCCACTCACAGCAGTGGGCGTTTACATCCAAGTCTTCAGTACGAGACGCCCATAAAAATCCAGCGTTTTTCAAGTAGGCTAAAAACTTGGACACAAAAATAGCCTATTACTTATTCATTTGGATGTTTTTGAATGCAAAAACCAAGCGAACGTCATAAGTTGACCTCGGACAACAAAATAATAAAATTTAAAAAGCCAGTTCATGACCCCTTTAAACGTTTGAACATCTTCAACGTGAAAACTGAATGAGCGATTTAGAGGGTTGTGTGTATATATAGATATAACATCAGAAAACTAAAAAATGTTTGGGTCAAATATGGACAAACCCAACCGTTGGGTATAAAAATGTAACTTAAAAATATAAACAATTGTATTTAAATTTTTAAACCAACGGTTAAGTTTGTCAATATTTGACCCAAACAACCCGGCATTTTTCCAACATCCAGTTTATTCTCTGACAGTTAATGTGTTAGTAACCTGTCTCTATTTTACTATCGTTTATTCAGAGGAGATCATTTGCCTAAACCACAACTCACCCTGATCTACCACAAGTTTACATAATCATTTCCATGAGTGCAATAACAGGTGAGATTTCTATAAAAACCACAGAGGTTCTAGTAGTGAGAAGGACAGCAGTTAGTCGTAGTAAACAACACTTAAAAGTGACTATATCTGATGCTGGATCAGTTGCTATCTGATCCATGCACATCATTATTACACCCAGAAACATTCTGCAATCTCCAGTGTTAAAGGGATTCAAGTTCACACACAAGTGCCCATTCTGCCAACATTTACTCACTCAGCAGAAGAAAGAAACCATACACGTTTAGAACAGCTTTAGGGAGAGACAATGATGACTAAAAGTTTCAATTTTGGGTGAACTATCCCTTTAAATCAAGGCACCAATTGGCCCATTTATTTACATGATTTTCCATTTGGGAAGAGAGAGAGAGAGAGACTAATTTTATATAATATACACTGAGCTAAAAGTCGTTCAGTGGTTGTGTTTTTTTATTTATAACATATGATATTAAAGTAAGAAACCAAGGCCAAGGGAGCCGTTTTGCTAACTGTATCACGATTGCACTGAGTATAATACATTGATTTTTGATGTTATTGTTATTATTGTTGTGTGTATATATAGGCTATATATGTTAGACTGGAGTAATGGATAACTTCTAATAAAGAACAGAAATGACATAACATTAAACCTCAGTTCTCTCAGTAACATCAAAAATCAATAGATTTTTGATGTGTTATTGTTGAAATATGATACCAGAACGTGCAACTGCATGTGTCCACAAAGCATACTGGAGGCTTCATTACTTAATTATTTCAAAAGTTCTCAAGAAAACGTAGATGTATAAATTCATTCTTAAACAAAATCCTGCATTACAACATTCCAAATCCGCTTTGTCGGCACATACAGTCGCATGTTCTGGGTACCATATTTCAACAATTACACATCAGAGAATGTTACATTTTCGTTTTCTTGAGAACTTGTGAAATAATAAAGTAATGAAACCTGAAACCTCCAGTATGCTTCGTCGGCACATACAGGTGCATGGAGGGGCATATTCTGGGTAGTGTTTTATATATAGAGAGAGAGAGCCTGACTCCACCCAATGGCGATTTTTGCACCTGAGACGCGCAGTGACGGCCGCTGTCACACTCTAAAATGTAGCGCGACGAGAGAGTGGCGCAAGGACGTTTCATCGCGACCGGCATCTGATGAGTTTTGTCGAGTTGATGTCAATTTGCCGCTATGTGAAAAAATCCAGCAAAATGCGCTGGCACGTTTGTCGACCCCGGAGGACTAACTTTAGCCTAACCATAAATTGTGATTAAAATATACATGATCACTCAAATCAAGACACCGCTGCGGTGGTGGAGTCCATGCAGGAGGAGCAGTGTGTGTCACTGAGTGTGGAGAAGCCCATGTCCACCTCTATCCCGTTACCATCCTGATCAGTGATCACTAGGGTTGGGTATCGAGAATCGAGTATCGATTGGAACCGAGACTAACTTTTCGTTTTTCCCGGAATCGCTCAAAAGTTAAAATTTCGATTCCTAGTTTCGATATTCACAGTCCGTCGAGCGGAAGAAGAAACCGCTGAACAACACCAATGAAGAAGCGTCTACCGGAAGTGTTGGCATAACCACGCGAGTCGAACATGAGTAGCTTACGTCGGCGATCCAAAGTGTGGCTTCACTTTTCTAAAAATAACGAAATCTTGGCAAAATGCAAAATTTGTGACAAAAGGAGTATTTCCTTCAGAAAGGCCGTTGGTTAGCAAGGTTAGCTAAACTTTTTTGACCCTGCCTCTTAAAAGAATTGGAATCGAGAATTGTTAGAAACCGGAATCGAAACAAGGAATCGGAATCAGAATCGTTCAAATTCAAACGATACCCAACCCTAGTGATCACTGTACTAAACATTGATAAATCTATGCTGACTTGAAGCTATCCTAACTGTACTATGCTACTAATTAACTAGGCTGCACAAAATAATCAATATAACTATATGAATGCTATGCTAAACAGATGCTACAATACTCTATCCTGATCGTTTTCAATACTCGTAATTCCAACTGTTGACTCGCAGTGGATTTGAAGAAACCAGATGGTTTTTAAACTGCCGAGGGTGGGGAGCTGGAATCTGCTTACGTCAGGTCTCCCGCTTACATCACGTACCACCGCAAACATCCAATAGGAAAATTCAAATGCAGTAGCCACCGTTCAACCTGAAGAGGGCAGCACTCGTTTTTACACCACATATTGTAGAATTAAAACACTTTATACCCAAATGTCAAAAAGGTTACTCTAATCAATGATCAGCACTAATAAAGCCCCATTCTTACAGATCATTAACTTTAAAAAGTTGGTTTAGGGTTACCCTTAAGTCAAGTCAAATATAGCGCTTTTCACAATACAGATTGTATCAAAGCTGCTTCACATCAATCAAGATAACATCACAGTGTTTGTTTATTCGTGAAAAATTCAATCAAAAGTTTTTAAAATGTAATTGTAATTAATAATGTTAACCAACCATTGGGTTTAAACATTTAATTAATAATGTTAAACCAACCGTTGGGTTTTAAAAAGTTTTTTTTTTTAAATGAACCAACGGTTGGGTTGACCGAACATGCGTTGAAACCATCCAACATTTATCCAACATCCAATTTATTCCCTGACAGTTAAGTTGACCGTTATGTTATCTAGTAACCGGTCTAAACAAACAATACGCCTTGTGTAAACTGCTGTCAATCAACCCATCAATAAATAACACTGATCAATTGATCAGTGTTATTTATTGATGGGTTGATTAAGTTTCTAATGCTGTATTGACAATACAGCATTAGAAACTTAAAACTCTGAGTGGAAACCGAAAGGTTGTAGGTTCAAACGCCATTAGAGTTCATTCATCATAAACTGTCATCAATAATCAGCAGTTTACCTCAGGTTACTGCAGCAGGACTAGTGCTAAATCTCCTACTGTGGAAGAAGCATCTGTTAAATGAGTTGTTATTAACAAAACAGCGACTTACATCTTCAAACAGTGATCCAACGTTGGCAGTAACCAGCAATATTCCCGCGCCCTGCGCTGTCAGCTTCCCCGCCATCGTTAATTAGCTCGCGACCCGAACTAATGAGCTAATTTGAGCCGTTTCTGGAACGAGCAGTGTTGTGGTGGTGGAGTCGAGTAGTGGTTCGTCTGGTTAAACTCTGCGGGTTCGAGTCTGGATCAGCTGGGCTCGTTCATACTCGTGCGCTTCTAGGAACGTTACGCGAGATCGCTCCGGACTCAAACGCGTCAGGCTTTATTTCTTCCCCGTCTCGGCCATGATTTGAAGATCTCCCCGGTTTAATCCGACGCGAACACCGGTCTGTGGAGGAGTGTGTTTCGCTGTCGTTCGGTTCTCCCTCCGTGCGCGCATTGCTCGCGTTAGTTTGAGGGACCGACACACACATACACACACACACACCGCTACTGGAGTGAGTCCCTGCGCTGCCTGACGTCACTGAGCCAATGGAAAAACGCGTCTCTTAAAGGGGCAGCACGTGATGCTGTGGGGCCAGTGGGGGGTTTAAAGAGCAACACAGCAGGGCCCCTTTAAGAGCCGCGGTGTTCCATTGGGCTGCTGGTGGCTGATGTATATACAGTTATAGTAAATATATATAAAAGTTAGTTTGGGGTCACTGTGAGTTTTTCTTTAATAGATTTTTATTCAGCAAGATGAGACCATTCAATTGATTTAAAAACCGTATATCTATCTATCTGTCTATCTATCTATCTATCTATCTATCTATCTATCTATCTATCTATCTATCTATCTATCTATCTATCTATCTATCTATCTATCTATCTATCTATCTATCTATCTTTCTATCTATCTATCTATCTATCTATCTATCTATCTATCTATCTATCTATCTATCTATCTATCTATTGATGGGTTTTGCCCATTGTGTGTGTGTGTGTGTGTGTGTGTTGTGTTTATATTTGTGTGTAGAGTTCTGAGAGTATGGGACATGCTTAGTGTAAAATGTGTGTGTTAACAATCGAGAAAAAATTTAACTATTACATCAGGCCAGGTGTGTGTGTGTGTGTGTGTGTGTGTGTGTGTGTGTGTGATGATTGTGTTGGAGACTGAAGCTGCCATGTGGCTCATTCTGTCGAGGAAAGAGGGAAATTATCACCACAACTTATTCAAAGAGTCCACAGCTGTGACTGGCAGCGCATGAGCTGTGTGTGTGTGTCTGTGTGTGTGTGTGTGTGTGTGTGTGTGTGTGTGTGTGTGTGTGTGTGTGTGTGTGTGTGTGTGTGTGTGTGTGTGTGTGTGTGTGTGTGTGTGTGTGTGTGTGTGTGTGTGTGTGTGTGTGTGTGTGTGTGTGTGTGTGTGTGTGTGTGTGTGTGTGTGTGTGTGTGTGTGTGTGCGTGTGCGCGTGCGCGTGTGCGTGTGTGTGTGTGTGTGTGTGTGTGAGAGAGAGTTTTTCACTTTTATTTATCTACGTATATGTTTGTATATTACTATTGCTTTGGCAATATTGTGCTGTTTTACACAGTCATGCCAATAAAGCTCAATTGAATTGAAATGGAATCATACATGTGTGTTGTTGAAAATGTAAAAATTAAGAAAGTTTTCTGCACTTTTCTTGTTTTAATCATAAACTCGCTTTACTTTGATATATCTTCAGTCATGTCGCCTCTTCTCCAGTAAATGTGTCTTGGTGGAATGTGTAGATGCTTGTGCTGGAGAACAAGACAGAAACACTGAGGAAGAACATGATTTTTGCAGTTAATGCATTAACATTAACTAATGGGAACTCGTTTATGGATGCCTTTGACGTTACACTTGTTTTCTTCACACTGGCGTGTCTGAGTCTCAGTTCTAGTGCAGACAGAGTTAAATATGCAGATGATCCAACGCTGAAAACAAAGCAGGAGAATCAATTACATTCAAATCAATGCAGTGGCTTTGAAATCAAGCATGTGTGTGTGTGTGTGTGTGTGTGTGTGTGTGTGTGTGTGTGTGTGTGTGTGTGTGTGTGTGTGTGTGTGTGTGTGTGTGTGTGTGTGAATTACATCAGTGCTCAGGGATGTAAAATAGACACTCCTCTTAGAATGAGTCTCAATGGAGTTTCTGCTGAATATTGCAGAATCAGGATCCTAGCGGAAAACACACGATCACAACACCACCAGATCAACACACACACACATCCACTGCGTGCAAATCAACTTATTATAAGTAGTTCAGATTAAGTGAACACAAATATAAGACCACAGTATAACCATAATATTTTTGTCATTATATAAATTATTTGTCATTTTTTACCTTTTTTTTGGAATTTGTTAATTCATCGCAATGGAGACTTGAAAGCGCTATATAAATGCAGTCCATTTACCATTTAAGCACTTTGGGCAACAACATTGCTAATAAATGTGCTATATAAATAAATCAAAAAATGGCATTGCAGGAAGCTTCTCTGATGAACTTTTGTCCAGGATGAATCGCGTCACGATCACCGAGCAGAACCAAACACACACGTGAGTCAATGGAAGTGTAGCGAACACACACTCGGCTGAGGGGTTTGTCTCTGTTTACACACTGATAACATTCCCAGGTAACGTGTTCATCCACTGTAAATACTACACTGGCACCCAGAGCAGGATATCCCAGAGAGAAACACACGGAGGGAGGGAGTCAGATAATAGGGAACGAGTTTATTTTAGCCTGGCCAGTGTGTGTGTGAAAATACAGAGCGGGGAGGAAGGAACTGCGCATGCGTGCGCTCGTCCGCTCCGCGTTCATTGGCCCAGAGCCGGCTCAGGCCACGCCCACAGCTGCTTGAGTAATGGAAAAACTGATGGAGGAATTCCAGTCTGGGAGGAAAAAATGTGAACTTTCACCCTTCTCGCAGTCTCAGAGCCGATCAAACTGAACCGGCCAAAAATAGAAAAACCTGGAAATCAGCAGCAAGTGTTTCTCGCTCTGATTCAGCTCTTCTGAAACCATAATAAACACTTTCACTTGCAGATCTGAGTCAGAACTGGAGTAACGTGGGAAGCGGCTTCGAGTCACATGTTATCTGCACTTCTCCTCAGTGTTTCTGTCCTGTTTTCCAAACATTCAAGATCCAGATACATTTACTGGAGGAGAAGCAAAACGACTGACTGATATTATGAAAACAAGAACTAATATCCGCCAATGGAGTCAGAAGACAATGTTAAGACTGATGAAGGAGAGGGCTTGATGACATCAGATGAAGAGGAAAGTTTTTTGTTAATAATAATAAATAATAATATTCCAGCTGTTCATTGTTTGTTCATGTAAGTTCGCAGTGCATTAACTAATGTTAACACGATTTTAATAATGTATTAGTAAATGTTGAAATTAACATGCTGTAGAAATATTGTCCATTCTTAGTTTGTGTTAACTGTAAGGCTAATTTTAACTAAGTGTGAATAATTACACTGATCAATCATTCACAATAAGATTAATAAAAACATAATGCCACACAACGCCACTGTTCACCTCACCGCAAAAAAACATAGTTAAAAAATAATACTATTTTGTCTTGTTTTCCAGTTCAAATATCATTCTTAACTAGTTTTATGGAACAAATTGACTTTGGTCCCTCTAGTGGTCAAAACACAAAACTGCATGTGTTCTGCGGAAGAGCATTGTTGTGGTTGTGCTTCGGTTGTGTGCGGATGAATATGATGATCATCCTCATAAAACATTCATGCTATTCTACAGAGATAACCAGTTTAGATGGAGGATCTCCAGCCGACAGATGTTATTTTACCCGTTAATAGACACGATCCTTCCTAGAGAATAAACTCCAGCGTACAACATCCGTAATGAAATGATCTTCACAATGCTTTAGTGAACTCTGTTAGAGAGACACATGTTCAATAAAACAGCTTTGTCTCCTGTTGAGTGCTAAAGCACCATCATCTCTGTGACGCTGAACAACATTCACAGTCCCTCGGTTCTCCTGAAGCCGAGCTGATGCTGTGATGTTTTATTACGAGCTCTGGAACGTGAAGCCGTGAAACCTTTACAAACCTTTTGTTTTCAATCAGTGGTTCAGAGAGTATCAAACCGCCAAATTCACATGACTTCAGTTACGAAACGTTGCGAAATTTCAATGTTTCATTGCAGCGAAAAATTGAACAAGTGTTTTTATACATTTGTAGACGTTTTAAAAAAATGCTGGGTTGTTTTAACCCAATTTTGGGTCAAATATGGACAAACCCGAAATGTTGGGTTAAAAATGTAATGTAAAAATTTAACCCAACGGCTGGGTTAGTCCATATTTGACCCAAAGTTGGGTTAAAACAACCCAGCATTTTTTAGAGTGTAGTATTTCCTTTCGCCACTAGGGCTCGCTAACCTCTTACAATAACAAAAGCGTAGGTTGATGACGCATAAGTGAAGCTAATGGATCTAATAATGCTTATGGATGAATGATACACTGATGTTTTATGATGACTGTGGGATAAAGACCACTAATTAGAGACGGATCTCAGCGCCACAACTACACGTGCTGTAGATACTCACTCAGATCAGTGTATTTAGAGGACTGAAGTGTGTGCTTCTCTTGCTCTAGCTACATACAGAACTGTTATTATGTTATTAGATGAATTGCATTTAAACGATTTTACTTCAATAAAACATTTGCAATGGGCTTTAAAAGTTGTTTTTATGCATGTTTGGCCTGAGGAGTTTAGTTGCACTGACCCTGTTCTGACCAGCAGCGCGTCATCAGTTTGTGACGCTTCGAAACAGTGAATCATCTTGCGAGTCGATTCATCTGATTCGAATCTTCGTTTCTCGCATCACTACTAGAGATTTTGCGGCTCCATGTTAAACTCTCTCGCTCGTTGTGATAACTAATCTAACTTACATTCTGCACCTTTCACAGTGTTTGGATATTTGTACTGGAGAACAAGACACAAACACTGGAAGAAGGTCTTTTGAAGTGTTTAAAGTGCATCGTTCTGTCTCTGTGAGTGAAATGTTCATGTGAACCGCGTGTAAGTGAACCGTGTGTCTGTGTTTCTGTAATCGAGAGAACAGAGAAAGATCTTCCTCTCAGGGAAACACTAATTCTTTAGGCGTGTGTTGAGTAAAGCTGAACACACTCGCTCCAGTCTATTTTCTGACACCGGAGGATCCAATTAACCTCGCGTGTGATTTTAATTTGGCTGATGCACAAAGTCTCTGTTTCCAGCTTTAGAAGAGCCATAAACCTGTGACATATTTCTGCTATTCCTGCGGGTCTGAGAGACTGTCCTATTTCAGCTCTCACAGGACACCCGTAATATCAGCTGCCATTATTCTGGAGAGAAAATTAATAGCGTGGCCTACATTTTACCTATAAATATAAACTCATAAATGTAACATTGGGAAATACCAAAATACATAGATTGAGGTTAGATGCCTATATGGGTCCTGAACATCCTATCTCACCCCAAAAATAATAAAGCAAAATGAAAACTATGTATTTTGAATTAAAAAAAAAATAAAGTTGTTTTTGTTTCTGACATTGGTTTCAAAACATCTGTGCATTACACGTATGAACATTTGGGTAAAATGTGCTTATGGTGAAAATTTAACACCACAATATTTTTTGTTCATTATGAGGAATATAATTTAGATTTATGAGCTTATTTTTTTGCATGGTCAAAAGTTTAAAATGTTTCTGAAAAAATATCTTCAACTCAGCATGGCTGCTTTAATTTGATCAAAAATACAGTAAAAACAGTGAAATATTATTGTAATGTAAATCATCTGTTTTTTATGTGAATATACAGTAAAGTGTAATTTATTCCTGTGATCAAAGCTGAATTTATCATCATTACTCCAGTCTTTAGTGTCACATGATCCTTCACAAATCACTCTAATATGAGGATCGGATGATCAATAAATATTTATGTGTTGAAAACAGTCATATTTTTGTGGGAACTGTGATACAGTGTCTGTTTTCAGTAGAAAGAAAACCTTTTGTTGTGCTTTTAATGCTGATTAACAGCGAGTGGAGAGAAACGGCGGTTCGCTTGCCTTGAACACCGGCAGAGGGAGCCACTCGACACCGAGATCACCAGCGAGATCACACTGAGAGGAAGAAACGGTTTACCTTCACCTTCACCACGGAAAACACATTTACATGGCTCAGATATCGCTTTTTAATTACATTTTTTGGAAAAAAATCATCAGTATCAAATATGATCATCGGGCTTTTGAGAAGAGTTTATTTGTTCATCTCTCAATCATCATTGTATAATGGTCATAGTTATAATAATTAATTTAACTATTATTATAACAGGAGAATGGTCAGTGTATTGTGTATATATTCAGGGGACTCAGGTTTCAGGTTTGAATTCGCGGAGATTTAGCCGAAAACGTCGGCCGCGCTCTGGCGCCACGAGCTCGGGAGAAAATCGCAAATATCTCAGCGAAAAAGCAACGTTTTTCTTACGGCACCAAATTTCTGTCGAGTGGAGAACGGACCTAGACCTTTCGAAAGAGACCACCCCCAGCCTCGTGGGCCCCCGAGGGCCCCAGATACAGGCCCCCAACGCCCCTCCGGAAGCGAAAAACGCAAATATCTCTGCGAAAACTCAACGTATCCGTCGGAGACCGGGCTCTTCGAACCGTATCGCCGAACTGAACAAAACCATATGCGTTTAGTCATTTTTGGTGGAGTATTCACGGAGATATTAGCCGAAAACCGTCGGCCGCGAAAATGGTGCCACGAGCTCGGGAGAAAATCGCAAATATCTCGGTGAAAAATCAACGTTTCGACGCCAAATTTCTATCGAGTGGAGAACGGACCGATACCTTTCGAAAGAGACCACCAACAGCACCGTGTGCCCCTGGGGCCCCTCCGGAAGCAAAAAACGCGAAAACTCAACATATCCGTCGGAGACCGCCGAACTGAACAAAACCAAACAAAAGTCACAAAAACAAACAAAACACATACCCCTCATTGTGTTTATGCTCCTTTTAATACTATATTAAATAAACATAACTATATATTAAAATTACATCTAAACGTATTAAAGTTTCGTTTCAAAGAACGGAGGACAGTAAATTTGGAAGACTCGGCCATAATCCCGTTTTCCTCCGCTTTAAAGCTCCCCAACCGGAAACGGAAGAGCATCCCTGCGTCAAATGCGGAACTTATGCGTGCATATCAGGTGCATAGCTCATTAATCGCATAAAATATTGTCACAAACACCTTATTTGGAAAAAATATAAAGTGTAGCCTGCTTTAAAGGTCCATTGAGACCAAGTCGGATAAATATAAAGATAACAATAACTATATTAGCGTCCACACTTATGTATGTTGTGTGTGTATGTAGAAGTGCTGCAGTTTGTCGTTTGCACAAAGGATGCTTTTCTTACCTAGTATTTTTCCATGTTTCCAGTCCAAATATCCAAATAAATTCTTAAATCAAGATGCATTTACTGAAGTAGTAAAATGCCATCAGATATGATGTCTTGTTGTCTGGGGAAATGAATAAAAATTAAGTGAGTTTTTATTATCTGTAAATTGGGTGATAAAAATAATCCTGTTTCTTTTTGAATGGGCTTTATGCACAGCTGCATGCACTACTTCCTGAACTTCAGCCAGCTCCTTGTTTCCTGTCTGCCATTATTGGCCGAATTGATTAATTCAGGTGTACCTGACCTCAGTAGTCATGGCAACAATAATCAGACACACCTGAATTAATCAATTTGGCCAATAATGGCAGACAGGAAACAAGGAGCTGGCTGAAGTTCAGGAAGTAGTGCAGCTGTGCATAAAGCCTTCTTCCCCGATTATAATTTTGCTTGGTTTTAAGCAACAACTCACTTACATTTATTTATTTTTTGCAGTGTGTCACTTTAAATGCTCTTTACTTTGTTTATCTTTACAAGAGTTATTGCGCCAAACGCTCTTAAAGCAGGATGGATTCTGATTGGCTGTCATTATTAAAGCGGTTCCAATGACGTCATTCCTGTGCCGTTCTCGTTCCTTTACTATTCTTTCACATTTAGAATTATTTTTCAAACTATATCTTTATCATTATTTGTGTGAACTATCTAGCGATAAAACTGTAAGAAGAAAAAAGTCGTCAGTTCACTGAAATAAAAGTCCAGCACTAATATCTAAACATATTAAAATCAAGATCAATTTACTGGAGAAGCAAAAAGATACTCAGATAGTCTTGCTTTCTGAAAAACATCAAAATGAAGTCATGCTTAAAGATAAGAGATAAACAATTCACAGGGAAACAGGATTATTCATTGGCAGATGTTCTTGTTTTAAGACTAAACTCACTTAATTTTCATAGAACAAGACTTGATATCTTGGTCATTGTTCTTCTCCAGTAAATGTTCAGATGTTAGTGCTGGAGAACGGACAGAAACACCAGACTCAATGGAGTTTTAAACCTGAACCATGTTTCCGTGTCCACCACGTGCAAAAGAACATTGCAGAACGGACATTGCTTTAATATTTTATTCTATTTACAGCACAATATAGACCTGATATAACGACTCGACGCCTGCAGAGAGGAGAATCTGAGGAAACCTGCGAGATCCTGAGCACACACGCACACACACGAGTAAAAACACTGCTTTTTATGCTTTAATGAAAGAGACGGTGCATAGGAGCGTACAGTTCTGTCCATATCTCCAGTGGAACAATTCATAAGGAGGAAAGCAACGGTGTCTAACGTAAACCAGGCTAAAGGCGATAATACAGTGTACACAACTTCCTGACAGCGTCCTTTAATTCATGAAAATTAAAATCACTTCAAAAGCGATGGGTTGGCTCCTCCGAGAGTCTGCGAACGGCGGGTTCACAGCAGGCCACCAAGGTATGGATAAAGTGCTTCTCTTAACGTGACATTAAATAATTAAAGCAAAAGAAAACATCACATAATCAGAGCGAAATAAGAAAACGGAGGACAGGAGATATATTCCTTCAAGGGGACAGAAAACTAGAGAGAGACTGTGAAGCGACGGACAATCGGACATACTGCATGGTGTAAGACCTACATGATGCAAAATTTCACATTTTCATAATCTGAAGAACAGACACAGTAAGACTTGTCGTTTAGTATCATAACACGGATATCTGACGGTCCGTTGCGTCCTATGAGGACAGTCAGTCATCAGAAACAGCAGCAGATGATCTTACAGAGGCCGGTCACCGCTCGAGTGTTTTTTGTGTGAATAAATACATTCGGATTTAGTGTCAAGCTACTTGTTCTAATATAATGTACGTCCTACAAAACAAACATAGGAAAGATGGAGACAAACGGAGAGGAGATGGGGGAATTGTTCGCTCCGAGATCGTTCTCCTCGTGGCCCCTCAAACTCAGCCCGCTCGTCACAAGGCAGACGTCTTCTTCCAACAGTCGTGTGTGTGTGAGGAGAGAAGAGCCTTCCTCGAGGTCTCCGTGGCTGATGAAGGCGCTCTCCGTGCTGGGAGGATCCCACATACTGAGCGCCTGCAGACCCCTGAATAACAGCCCGTCCACGGCCGTCCTCGTCCTCTGCGGAGAGAACACACACACACACACACGACCCTGAGAGCTTCACAAATATACCTGGAACTCATCCATTCAAAAATAAATTAACAATATTAGTGTGCACCCTATCGTGATGGCAAACTCACATCGAGCCACTGAGAGGTTGTTTTACGTAAAGAGCTTACAATGGATTTACTGTGCATGATGATGCGTAAAAAATGCATGCATAAAGCATAGATGCATGCATTAATAAAAATCCATAAATGATGCACAAAATGCATTAATAAAAATACGTGCACTAAAATGCATGAATAAAATCATCCATAAACGATCCATAAATGTATAAATAATGCACTCATAACAATAAATATATGATGCATAAAAATATATTAATGATGCATAGAAATGCATACACGATGATGCATAAAAGTGCATGCATAAAGCATAGATGCATGCATAAAAATACATGCACTAAAATGCATGAATAAAATCCATAAACGATGCATAAAATTGCATAAATGTATAAAAAAATGCATGCAAATAACGCCTAAATGCATAAATATGCAAAAAAAAAAAAACAAATACATGCATTTTTTTCTATAGCGTTTTATATAAGACAGATTGTTTCAAAGCAGCTTCATAGTAATAAACAGAAAAAATAACAACACAATAAATTCTAAATAAAAGGCTTCACTGAGGTTTCATGCACAGTGTAGATGTGTCTAAATATGGCGGTTCCAAACACTGGCAGTGGGAGCGGCTTCTGAACTTGAGCTAATATTGAACCAAGACAGCATCTGATCTCAATAAACATGACTCATGAGGTGACCTAGCAATCTCCAGAGGAACTGAGGCCATCGGACCAAACCAGGAAGTTAAAGACAATTCTGTGATCAATAAATCACAAATTAAGCATGTTCAAGCCTCTTCAGTCTAATAGTGTTTTCAGATCATTGCTTCATGAAATTCAAAACAAATGTGCACCTAAAAAAAAAAAATTTTCATGTACCCACCTTCATGTCATTTCAAACAGTCTGATTTTCTTCTGTGGAACACAAAAGGAGAAGTTTAGCCGTATGTTCAAGCTGCTCTTTATAACTAAAGCAGACTGGGAAAGGTTTACAGCGCCGATCAAAGCACAAAAGACTCAAACCATGCGATAGCGCTTTCTGTCGGCTTATTGAAGTGCGGATGTGTGAACCGTGACAGGAACGTATTCTTACGGTGGATTTAAGCACGTCCACACAGCGTTTTGCATATCGCAAACTCAGACTATTTTTGATCCAAAAAAAGTATTAAAATGCTCTTCTAAGAAGTGGTAAAGTAAACCCTGCATGAGAGGATAATATGATAATATTAGTTTTTAGTGCTTTATTTAACATCACAATCGACATAAATTAAATACTCAGAGTCAGATACGCAGATTTTTACATTTTGACTCCACTACCGGCGGGAAATAAGAGATGGTGCTCACTGCGGAACATAAAATCCACGGGGAGGAGTCGGATCCAGATCCAACTCCTCCCACCTTACATACACCTAAACCTAACCAACTCCGCCCCCTGATCTCTAAACCCAACCCTAATCCTACCCATCTCCACCCCTTGGATGGTGATCCGACTCCTCCCCGTGGATCTCATGTTCTGCATTGAGGTGCTACTGGGAAATAACCTGATTCACTAATAAAGTCTTGTAAACGCGGTGTACTTGCGTTGTCAGGTTATCGGTTTGCACGCAAGCCTGATTATTTCAATAAGCTGATGTTTGTGAGTTACCAGCGCACTGATGTGCATGCAAACATTTACCTTTGTGTTCCACAGAAAAAGAAGTCATCACTCAGACTTAGAAAGACAAAAAATTGTGGGTTTATTAAGATAAATTAAGATACGCACAGTAAAGAAACTAATATAAAGCCTCGGGGGAGATCTGATCCAGAGGTCGGTTTTTGGAAACGAGTCAAAGAAAGAAAGACATGAACATCTTGGATAACATGCAGGAGAGTAAATGGGTTAAAGGGATCGTTCACCCAAAAAATGAAAAATGTCTCATAAATAGGGTTGGGTATCGAGAATCGAGTATCGATTGGAATCGGGACTAACTTTTCGTTTTTCCCGGAATCGTTCAAAAGTAAAAATTTCGATTCCTAGTTTCGATATTCACAGTCCGCCGAGCGGAAGAAGAAACCGCTGAACAACACCAACGAAGAAGTGTCTACCGGAAGTGCTGGCATAACCGCGCGAGTCGAACATGAGTAGCTTACGTCGGCGGTCCAAAGTGTGGCTTCACTTTTCTAAAAATAACGAAATCTCGGCAAAATGCAAAATTTGTGACAAAAGGAGTATTTTTACAGAAGGAGTATTTCCTTCAGAAAGGATTATTTCCTTCAGAAAGGCCGTTGGTTAGCAAGGTTAGCTAAACTTTTTTGACCCTGCCTCTTAAAAGAATCGGAATCGAGAATCGTTAGGAACCGGAATCGAAACAAGGAATCGGAATCAGAATCGATCAAATTCAAACGATACCCAACCCTACTCATAAATGACTAACCCTCGAGTCGTTTCAAACCCATAAGACTTTCGTTCATCAACACAATTGGATATTTCTAAGGATCTCTTTATGAATGTTTTGAAGTGTCAGAGTTTTGGGTGAATAGAGGGACAGAAATTGCTTAATTTGTGTTGGGAAGATGAACGAAAGTCTTACGGGGGTGGAAAGACGAGAGAATTTTATTTAATGGGCAAACGATCTCTTTAAGAGTGCAATGACGAGCACAGACGGACTCACCTAAGTTTCGCAGTGAGACAGCAGAGATGTGATTTCGGCGCTCATGTGTCCCACCGCCTTGGCGGCCTCCATGATGGCGCGGCGGTACATCCCTTTCTTTTTGCGGTTGAAGCGTAACCTGAAGAATTCGCGGAACGGCGACAGTTTGGCAACCGAGAGTTGTGAGGTGGTGGGAGACCCGAACCAGGACACTTTAGCTTCAGGCCAAGGAGCATCAACCTCTCCTTCTTCTCTACGAGAACCGCTAATACTGAGTATCCGAGCGGGCCACCACGGGAATCCGTGAATCTTTCCCCAAACGACGTCACCTACTGTCACGGCGTGACCTTCTTCGGTCACGCACTTAGTCATGCTGCGAGTGTGCAGTCGCACGGTTAGAGGCGGAACAGTCTTGCTTTCCCCTTGAGAAGACGACGATACGGAGATGTCGTCGCCCGGAGCGAGATCGCAGAGTTCTGGCGACGTCCCATCCGAGCTAAACGACTTGGACTCGTCTAGACTGTCGCTACTGCACACGGAGAGGCTCGACGAATCCGCTTTCCTCTTGCGGAAGTTAATGAGTAAAGTCAGGTCGCTGTGTCGGTCGACCTCTTCGCCGGACCAAAGTTCAAGCGAGTTTTTCTCGGCACCATCCTCGGATTGAGAGTTGGGAACTCTTGGACTTCTTCTCCGGGAACCGCCGACAAGTTCTGCCTCGTACACGGACATTTGCTCTCCTCCGTCGGACCGGGATCTCAGGCGGATCTTGGGCGACGGGGACTCTGGACTGGCCAGCTTTGGGAGCTTGAGTTTGGGAATGGAAATGGTAAGACCCGTTCGGATGGCGTCCATTTGCGGTTGCACAACTTTCTGGGATTCCTTGGAGGCGTCTCTTTGTCCATGCCCGTTCTGCAACAACTGTTTCGGACAGAAGGGTTTGACAGAGCCGTGAACTCTCGAGGGGATCTTTATTACCTCGCCTTTTCCTTGAGGAGTGCTATAGGAGATCTTAATCACAGGACTGTGGGGAATGATGTCCCCTACCGGAAACTTCTCGTCGTCTTTCTTGTCCTTTCGGAAGCGTTTGTTGTCAAAGACCATCGAGTCCTCTCTTCTCTTCGGCTCTTTGTTGTTGTCTCCGTCGTCCTTTCTCTTGGCCGGAGTCGCTTTAGTGTCCTCGTCTTCTTGAGGCGCGTTTTCTTTTCTAGACGTCTTGGGCGCCGTTGGTCCATCTTTGCTGTCCTCGTCGCTGTTTAGCGTGTTTTTGCATTTCTCGCACAACACCTGCCGAGGTCTCAGGCGGATCGTGCTCATGGTCATCCGTCCAGGCTCTCGACTTCTTCTTTTCTTCCTCTTGATTGGACGAGGTGGTGGTTGAGGAACCCACTGGTTGTACGTGTGCCGGACCCAAACGGGTTGCGGGAAAGGAGCGCCCTCAAAGTACGGTGGGTACGTGGGCTGGCCCGGTTGTACCGGGACGGGTAGGGGAGCAGGAGGAGCCATCGCTGGCTCCGTGTTCTCATCTTTTGGTCTCGGTGAAGGCGGACTAACGGGTTTAGAAGAAGCCTCTTCACTCGAGACTTCACAGTCCGGTCTCAATATGAGGCTCTCTTCTGATTTACCAACAACGTCTGGAAGGCAAAACAGCCCAGTCCTACGGAAGAGAATCAACAGGGAAACATAAGGAACGGAATCAGAGCAATGGAGGTTATTTATCCAGAAGGACTGCACTGTATTTGACAATCACAATTATTTTTTGTTTAAAGGCGACATATGCCCCTTTTCACAAGATGTAATATAAATCTATGGTGTCCCCAGAATGTGTCTGTGAAATTTCCTCTCAAAATACCGCACAGATCATTTATTATAGCTTGTCAAATTTGCCCCTTTTTGGGTGTGAGCAAACACAGCGTTTTTGTGTGTGTCCCTTTAAATGCAAATGAGCTTCTGCTCCGCCTCTGTTCAGAAGAGGGCGGAGCCTTCACACAAGCTTCAGACACTCCGGCAATAAGAACAAAGGCCGATCTCACTGATACAGAATGATACATCCCCTTTAAAACAGAGATCACGAATCCCCCACGATTGTGAATAAACAAAATTAACTTTTTATTATAGATTCTGATGAAATGTTAATTGCTGCAGTCTATTTAAAAAAAAAACATGGCCTATTGCATTCATTTGCATTAATTTAAAAAAAGTGAAAGATTTAATGACTCACTCATAGACTTGTTTCATTACTGGTGAATCAGCAACACGAATCTCTTGAATTAATAATTCAACAATTACTTTTTCAACATGTCACCACCTACTGGTGTAACTGATCATCTTCATTTGAAGTACCAAGTTACTTATAAAAGGTGATTTTATCTATTTTGATCGTATACATCAGCGTTTGTATCCGAAACTATAAACTTTTATCCCAGTATTTCTGTGATAATGAATTGGATGAGCACTTAAATAGTACTGAAACTAAACAAAACTTACAAAATGAAGTAATTTTACTTCAGATATAATGTTTATTTAATTTCAAGTAAGAAAGTGTGGGTTTTGGTTTTAGTTCACAATAAAAAACTGATAGTGAAAACTGAAAACTGAAAAGTGACAACTGAAAGTGTGGACGGTGCAGAACAACCCACTTACATCACCATTAAATGTTTATATTTAACACTCTTATCACAACACTAGAAAACATCTGAACGCTCATGAACTGTAAAATGAATATGCTTTATCTAATCAATAAAATTGTGGCAACAGATTACAAGCAATATTATTTATTAAATTGAACAAATTAGAATTGAATAATAGTTAATCAAATTAACATTCTAATTATTTCTAATTTGTACAATTTAATTAATAATACGGCTTGTAATATGTTGCCACAATTTCATTGATTAGATAAAAGCAGATAAAGCATAGATAAAGCATTTTTTTTTCAGTGTGAACTGAAATGCACGATTAGGCATTTCTAATGGCAAGCTGACTCTTGACTGGAAAAACTAGTTGCAGTTCGTGCAACAAAACCACACCTATGTTTTCATAACCTTTAAAACACCACAGATATAATCTGATCTGTCAAAAATCTTAATGCTGCATTATTCTTAGATACGGCAATGCTTGGAATTTAAAAGTAGTAGCACATACATTTCAATAACACAAAATAGTACAAGTTTAGGACAAACATTATTAGTCGTTTTGTGGTAATTAAGCAAGACGTTGCAAACGAAAATTATAAAATGAGCTGAAATAAATTTTATTTCAGATAATGTTTAGTTTTCTGGTTTTAGTTTACAATAATAATCCTGCTTCGATGGTGCAGAAAAAATACTTGCATCAACAAATGTCCTTATTTTTAACACTCTTATCACAATTTTGCTCATGAATTGAAATATTTAAGCATTTCTAATGGCAAGCTGACTCTTAGATAGTGATGCAGACATATCGTGCAAAAGCAGTCACATTTCAATAACACAATTCAATTTTATTATTATTAGCAAGACATGAAGATGTGCTTTTCGTTGCATATTTGCACGTAGCAAAACAACTACGTCTAAATGCATGACATGAGCAGTTGTGTGAGATTGAGCCAGCGGTTTCAGTGATCACACTGGAGTCTTCTTGAGTCTGTGAAAGATGCAGCCGAAGCAAAAGCGCTGTCAGAAACCCCAGACAAAGAGACCAACGGGTCGGCCGGATCCCCCTCCACCTCGCTGCACAAAAACAATCCCATAAACCACCGGGGACGCAGGGAGAGGGCCCAGAGATTCGGCTGTTTTCACAGCGCTGAAATCTGATTGTGCCGGGATTATTAATTAAACCGCAGAAGGAAATCCTGTGGGTGACAGAGGCAGAAGCCCTCGGGCAATAAACACCGATCATTGGAGATGTTTGAGGAAAAATAAAACGCCCACACCTAAAGCAACAATAACTACAGCGTCTAGTGTCAGGATGCGGAGCAAGAATGAATAATACTTTCAATATATATATATATAGCTGAGATGATGAACGACCAGATGCTATTTAAACACAGATCAGGATGTAACACTAGCTGACCGCACACTGCACACGGCTGACTATTTTTTGACATGATTCTACAATAATGCTTCAAAGTGTAGTATACTAGTGTAGAAACTAGTGTTGGACAACGATTAATCGCATCCAAAATAAAAGTTTTGTTTGTGTGTACGGTGTATAATTTCATGTATATATTTGCATGCATGTGTGTATATACAAAATTATATACAGTACACACAAACAAAGACACTAGTTTCTAATATACTACAGTTTGAAGCATTATTGCATATAACTGCATTATTGAAGCATAAATAAATATTATGTAAACAAAGACTTTTATTGATCATGAAAGTCTGAAATTGTGTTTTCTTCTAAAATCGTCGTCTGTTTTATTTTGGTAACACATTACAATGAGGGCTTACTGATTAACATTAGCAAAACAACGAGAAAAGTATTAACAGCATTAAATAGCCTTTGTTAATGTTATACTGTTCATGTTCACAGTGGATTAACTAACGATACCACATTAGTCAATGTTAAAAATAACTAAATGCTGTTCATTGTTAGTTCATGTTAACTGTAAAGTATTCTGAAAAATGTGTAGTTTAATTCCAAACTACATAGAAAATAAAGGCAGTTGCAATTACTTTCAGTTCAAAGGTTGAGCGCAGTGCATTGTGGGACATGTAGTGTGCTCATCAAGTGCACTAGATCATGCGAGTATGATTTTCGGAGTGAATGAGTGATGATGATGATTCACTGAAAGGACGTGATTCACGGTGACACAACCTGAACAAAGCAGTGACGCATCTGAACGTCCACTGAAACAGGATTATGAAGACAAGAAGCGTTTCTGCTCCCCAAAACACCTTTCAGTGGTCAGTTCTTAAAATAAACATCTATTTCTTAAGTGTGACGAACATTTGAACAAGCTAAAGAACATTTAATGCATCAGTGCTATAAAGAGCCTCTATTTTTAAGAGTTTACAGGGGGGGGGGGGGGACACTCATAGTACATCAAAAAATAACATAAGCGGAGCACATATTTATATCATACACTGTCTATCTAGTAAGTGTTTTGGAATATCCTGACTATTATAAACATCAAGAATTATCAATGTCAGTTATTGTTTTTCTGATGCAGATCTATAAAGGAAAAGTGATGTAAGATTCTCATGCAATGTGTCTATTAATACCTCACAGACGCACAATATCCACAATCACATGCACAATACACCGGCATCCACACAGGAATATAATGTGGAGAAGGTTCAATGACACCAATGTCATATTATTCCACATCAAACCCTTAGAATCTGAAAACAACAACACTGATGAAATATGGAATAAAACCAATGCAGATTCCAAGGCCTCATGGAGAAAACCACATGCAAGTGTTACTTTAATCAGTATCAAATGAATAATCACAATATTTGACCTTTACACTGTGTGTATATAACAATGCCATCTGTCCCTTCATGAACAATAATCATTATTAGGACTCAATTAAACAGATCCTGTGTGGTTATTCCCGATGACAGCGATGAATGAGCGTGAAAACATCAGTCAATGTTTGATGTGATGAAATGATACAAAGAAACAGCTTCAGCTACACGGCTAAAGCAGAGAGCAACCATCACCATCCGACACTAAAAACACACAATCCGACACTAAATAGCGCTTTATCCACATCTAGTGTGTGTGTGTGTGTGTGATGATGAAGACGATGATGAAGATGGTTGCTGTTCTTCATTGTCTCTGCTCAAGGCCTGCCTGTGTTCTCCTGGCCTGCTCTTTAGGCCCGACATTATAAAGTGTGTGTTTTTCGCATGAAAACACAAAGAAAGGAGACTCACTTTCTGCTGCAGTCCAGTAAGATCCCGGTGTAGCTCTTCTCCCGGTAGACCAGCGTCACCACGAGCGTGTCGTTCACGATCTGTTCGACGGTCACCGGGATCCGGGAGCCGGCCTGCAGCTCCTCCGGCACGGCCTGCATGTTTCCTCGCTCGGGGTCCGGGTTTGGGTCGCTCGATCGCGGCCACCGGAGCCTCGGTCGCGTCGCGTCGCGTCGGCCTTCACTGCGATCCGTGCGCGCGCTCGGGAGGCTCCGTCAGGACGCGCAATGACGCCATCAACTCCACCGACGCGTTACAGCGGGCCCGTTCGCGGTGACATCACCAGAGAAAGACGAGAACGAAGTCAAGCTGGAGAACCACCGTCTGTCTGAGCGAACTACAGCGACACACACACACACACTGCACATTATTAGCCTACAATGTGCTGGACTCACCTAGTAGATCACATGGCACATAAAATACAATATAGGCTATATAAACACACACATAGCATAAATATATGTATAGGCCTACACACACATATAGCTAAACTTGTGTTTGGTGTGATTAATTTATTTGACAGGCCTATATATATATATATATATATATATATATATATATATATATATAGCGTATTTCAATTTCCTGTTTATGTAAGAGTTTTTTGCAAGTCTCTTGTTTAATACTAGTCCCCCTGTAGTCAATCATTATATCCCTTAAGACTCATCTTTGATCACCTAAATGACACATTTAAGCGTTTTTTTAAGAAAACGTTTCTTAGAAAAAAAAATATCCTTCACAACAAAAATATCTTGAATGTAACTCGACACCCTCGCCTCATTCAGTATGTGCGGTTCTATGAATATGCAAATGAGCCCCGCCTCCACGCACTCACTCACTCAGAAGGTGCGTTCCATTCGACCGTAAGTGGACTGCGAAGTGGACTTCACAGGGTATTTCGCCATCTTAAGTGAGATTCCAATTCGAAGGGAACGAAAATGTTCAGTTCGAAGGGCACTGCAAACGGCATAGGGAATAAGGGAACATCGATACATCACTTCACAGGAAGTCAGTGAAGTCCACTACTGATATACCGTGTTCAGGGAGTAGGGAGCGCAGTGAACACTGCGTAGGGACCCTGTCGAATGGAACGCACCTAGAGATCCACTGGTGGACAATCACACGTTGATCTGATTGGTTACAAGGTGGTTTGTGACGTCAGAAACACCAGCGATTTCAAAGCGTGTTTTTGAGACCGTCTTTGGTTCACTGCAGCTTTAAGGAGGAAATACTCAGCAATGCTGTCCACAATGAAGGTCCTCATAAATGAAACACAGAAATACAGTCATCATGAGAGTGATAATGATGGTGATGAAGATTAACTTTCATAAAAACTGTCATAAATGATCGTGTTAAGATGAAAATACTGTTTTCCTTGACTTTAGAATGGGAGGGATTATGTTTATGGAAGCTTAAAAAGAATAACGGAATAAAAAAAATAAATTTTCTCTCACAATTGCAAAGTTTATCTCTCACTCTCACATTTCTAAATGATTGAAAAATAAGGGATAGAATTGTGAGATAGAAGAAAGTAAAGCTGAAGGCTGTGAGTTACTCCACTAACCACACGATGTCAGTATACACACACACACACTTGCTCCTGAATCCATCGATCACGTGACTCTGCAGATGCGGACACAGGGCATGAGAACACCCTCACACACATCTGCAAACACTGGGTCACGTGTTCCTGTTGCTCTATGGTTGCGATGCTGTGATATTAAAACTGCTCCTGTAATGTGCAGACGATAGTTTCAGAACCTGAGAATCTGTCGGACTGCTCAGCCAATCACACGAGTTTGGGGGCGGGGCTATCTGTTTGACGGACCAATGACATGGCAATAGGATTATTTTTATAAATAACTTTTGTTCGTAATTATTGTCGGATGACACTAGTGGCACAGAAATAACAATGATACAATAAAAATGCTTCAAAATGAAGTGAGTTTGTGCTTTAAACAGTAAGATCCTCCTGGAAGATCTGGATATCCTGATCGTCTTCCTCACACACATCCAGACTAGAGAAACACACAGCTTCTCCACCTCTGATTCACAAACACACACACGCACACACACACACACACACACGAGATTATAATCAAACGTGAGCATGGAGGCCACGCTCAGCTGTTAACATGAAAACTTCATTTATTAATGGTTTTTGTTCCGTCACTCATCTTCACACTCCTCCTCTTCCTCAGCGTTTCTGTCTTGTTTTCCAGCACATAAACATTCTTAAATCAGATGAAAATATGTATTTACTAGTGCTGTATCAAAATACAATATAAAATAATTTCAAAATTATGATCCAATCAAAATTATAATAAAATTACAACACTCACAATTATGAGATAAAACGTTGAAATAATGACAAAATGTCGAAATTATCACACACTAAATTAAAATAATGAGATTTAAAGTTAAAAGTATGCCACTGAATCAAAAGTATGACACAATGTTGAAATTATGAAAGTCAGAATTATGAAAGAAAGTCAAAATTATGACATTTTAAATCGAAGTTATGACAGATTTTTTTTATTGATCTACTAAATTAAATTAAAAGTTTGAGATTAAAACAGTAAACAGGAAAGTAAATAGAAATGAAAACTGAAGTTGGAGAATCCTGTAATCAGCTTCAGTGTTCCTGCTGATCATTTTCATCCACGGCCTCATTAAGATCTCAGCATCGTTCCTGATAATAATACGTAATCAAATGAGAGCAGAGATGAAGACTGGTTAGTGTAATGGGAGTCCGATTATATCTGGAGATTACACTGCAAAACATGCTTTTCTATTCTTAGTAGGCTATGTTTGTCTTGTTTCCAGCCCAAATATCAAAAAATTATTAAATCAAGATGCATTTATAATTATACATAGATATTATTTCGTGTTTTCTGGGGGAAAAAATACCAATTAAGTGAGTTGTTGCTTAAAACATGCAAAATTATCTGCAATTGGGGTGAGAAAAATTTCTCTTTCCGTTTGAATGAAGAATAATGTTCTCACTCCATCGGCAGATTTGCTCGTTTCAAGCCAAAACTCACTTCATTTCTATTTATTTCCCCAGAAAACAAGACATAATATCGTTTGTCATTTCACTCATCTAGTAAATGCATCTGGATGTAGAATCTTTAGCTGTTTGGACTGGACGGAGAGAGCATCGGGGCGGTGTGTATCTGGGTTTTGGCTGGACTGAAGCGCCAGAATCTCAGCAGCGTCTCCAAGGGAACAGAAACTCACACCCGTCAGCCAGAACCAGGACATGCTGCTATTTTTGAGGCAGGCCATCCTTTTTATGCAAAGCCACAGATGGCAACCACACACACACACACACACTCAGGTTGTTCTCACCTTCACCTAGTTGAGCACATCGCAGGTGATGTAGGATCTTCGGTTGGTCCAGAACGTCCCGAGGAGGGAAAGAGAGCGGGCAGATCCTCAGACTCAAAGCCTTCAGTGACGTCAGATTCCCTGTAGAAGATCACATCACACACACATCTTCATCTTCATTATGCACTGCAAAAAAAAATTCTTACTTAGTATTTCTGTTTAGTTTCCAGTCCAAATATCAAAAAAATATTAAATCAAGAAGCATTTACTACACTGTAAATTTTTTTTAAATTTTCACAGAAAATAACTGTGATTTTTTGATGATCATTTTCTTTCATTTTAAGTTATAGCCTACTGTTGTTGTGCGATCAGACTTTAATAATTACATTCAGAAACCTGTTCTAAGACTTGATGACAACATGATATTGGCTTGATGGTGTTAGTAGGCTATTTGATGAAGTTAGTATTTTGTAATATGACTTGTCACTTACATGTGATGTTTTTGCTCTTAAACCTAATTATATGTGCATCTCAATTACATACATCTATGGGAGAGTAGCGCATTGGAACCGAACTATTAACACAGACTATTCCTGTAAACGCCGGTTTGACTCACATGTGCTGTCCGACAGCGGCTGGAAGAGCTGAGATCTGATTATTCCTCACATCCAACCAGAGCAGAGCCGGAAAACTGCTGAAGAAGCGCTCCGGGAGCGCGCAGATCTCAAGTATACCTGGCTGCAGCCTGCAGATCAGGGCGGGGCTACACCTGGGGCGGGGCTGCACAACACCATCCCATGAAACTGCGTATCTACTGCTATCGTGCCATTTAAATATGCAAAAAATAATTGGGTAGGCTACACTGGAAACATGCTTGTCTTGTTTCCAGTCCAAATATCAAAACATTCTTAAATCAAAATGCATTTACTAGAGTGAAATGGCATGAGATTTAGCCTATGTCTTGTTTTCTGGGGAATCAAAGTGAGTTTTTTCTTAAAACAAGCTAAATTATCTGCCAATGGGGTGAGAAAAATAATCTACATTCAAACAGAAACAGGATTACTTTCCTCACCCCATCGGCAGATCATTTGGCTTTTTTAAAGCAACAACTCACTTATTTTTTTATTTATTTCCCCAGAAAACAAGATATAGCCTAATATATTATGGCATTTTACTATTAATTGAATGCATCTTGATTTAAGAATTGTTTGATAACTGGACTGGAAACAAGACAAAAATACTAACTAAGAAAAGCAGTTTTTGCAGTGTAGAATTATTACACGTCATAAATATAAACGTATTAACTGAACTCTTTTTGCGTATGAATTACACGATAAATAGGACTACAATTCATGCTGTAGGCCTACACACTTCAGCACGAAAATGTGTTTAAGAATGTGTTAGACAGTGTTGTTGTTGTTCTGTGGTGCAGCGTCTGGAGTCCGGCGTTCAGAAGCTGCAGGAGGAGCTGCAGGCCCGTGAGTGGAGCCCCCTGCTGGACGGGGCGCGTATCGACCTGCTGGACGAGCCGCCCAACCCCTGATCTGAGAACATTCATATTCACCATCACAGGCTAGGCATCTCCACACCGCAGCGACTCCAGCTCCCTCATCACCTCAGACAGTGACCGTGTCGGCCCGGATCCGGCCCACATTCGGTATGTGGATTACATGCGTGCCAGATGTGGGCCGACACTGTGTTGCTGTCTGAAACTGCAGAAATGATGTTCAATATGTAAAGCGCTTTGGTGGCCATTAGGTCTATGAAAGTGCTATATAAACACAGTCCATTCCAGATCCGGGCCGACACTGTGTTGCTGTCTGGGGACTAAATTCAGATTAACTTTGTAAGTGAACTCTATTTACCTCTCTGATATTCTATTATTCTTTTAAAGTCGATACAGACACACTTCTGTTCCACTGTGACACACACACTTGCTTTATTAAGAAATAAACAGACACAAGAGCATATTAATACTTTATTCATACTTTAATGATCGTCGAAATCTATGGGTTGCCAAAATATTGAAGAGAATCTATGTTTACGTACAGTATCATGCCGTCCACATTACAATGGATAACAATATAAGTGTGTTCTCACGGATCGTCAGAGGATTCCTGACAGACTGAGCAGAAACACACTCACACACACACTTCTGCTCGAATCCTCCTAATGATTGACTGGAACATGCAGGACTTCAGATTCTCCGCTGGATCGTCACTTCTCTAATGTCACTGTTATAGGATTTCAAAAACATTCCAAGATTTTACTTATTACAATAAATGCTTGTTTACAAATGTTACTGTTTATGGGCTTTAAGCGCTAATCAACATTCACATGTACGCACACACACACACACACACACTCACAAACCCACTCTCTCTCACACATACACACTCTAACACACTCACAAACAGACACTAACTCTCTGTCACACACGCTCGCTCTCTCTCTCTCACACACACACACACACTCATTTATATTAGAAATGGCTATGCAAATGGTACAAAAGCTTTGGCGTATTTGCCTACAAGTTGTGCCTGCACACTTGAAAGAGATTTTAAACAACACGTATGAAGAAGACGTGTCTCATAAACCTCTTAGTATCGTCTACATATACACTCGCGTACGTCAGTCAGCACATCCACATAAAACTGTGGAGAAATGCTGGAGCTTTCACTGTACATGTGTTACATGATGAAGCGCTGGAGTTTATCATCCTCCTCTTCCTCAGTGTTTCTGTCCGTTCTCCACTCAACCTGCATTTACTGGAGAAGAAGCAGAATTACCAGATAACGTCTGTCTTTCTGACATTAAAAAAATAATAATAATCTGAAAAATAAACTTAAAGGATTAGTTAACTTTTGAAAAAACTTTTGCTGATAATTTCCTCACCCCCATGTCATCCAAGATGTCCACGTCTTTCTTTCCTCAGTCGAAAAGAAATTAAGGTTTTTGATGAAAACATTCCAGGATTTTTCTCCTTATAATGGACTTCAATGGGGACCAAACGGTTCAAGGTCCAAAAGACAGTTATAACAGTTTCAGATGCAGCTTCAAATGTCTTTAAACGACACCAGACGATGAATAAGGGTCTTATCATGCGAAACGATCGCTTATTTCAAAGCTTATTCCAAAAATGTAACTTTTCTAAGGACAAATGCTAGCCTTGCTCTATTCTGTGAGGCGCGTTTGTAACGTCACGTAATACGTAATTACGTTCAAAAGGTCACGGGCGACGTAGCCGGAAGTACAGAATCAGAATCGTCCGACATCGTTGTTTTCCCTTTTAATTCCTTTTTTGTAAACGGCGTTTGAGTTAGTTTGCACGTTCAACCTATGCGTTCAACTTGTAAACACTCTGACTCTGTACTTCCGGCTACGTCGCCCGTGACCTTTTGAGCGTAATTACGTATTACGTGACGTTACAAACGCGCCTCACAGAATAGAGCAAGGCTAGCATTTGTCCTTAGAAAAGTTACATTTTTGGAATAAGTTTTGAAATAAGCGATCGTTTCGCATGATAAGACCCTTATTCATCGTCTGGTGTCGTTTAAAGACATTTGAAGCTGCATCTGAAACTGTTATAACTGTCTTTTGGACCTCGGTTGGACCTGGTCCCCATTGAAGTCCATTATAAGGAGAAAAATCCTGGAATGTTTTCATCAAAAACCTTAATTTCTTTTCGACTGAAGAAAGAAAGACATGGACATCTTGGATGACATGGGGGTGAGTAAATTATCAGCAAAAGTTTTTTCAAAAGTGAACTACTCCATTAATTCAAAGGAACCCTATTTTTACCCCATTGGCAGATATTAGTTCTTGTTTTAAGCACAAACTCACTCCACTTTTAAATCAGTTTTTCAGAAAGCAATATGTTCAGTGATTGTTCTTCTCCAGTAACTGTGTGTTGATTTAATAATCATGTTTAGATGTTCGTGCTGGAGAACGAGACGGGAACAGAACTGATCTCCTGAACGCTACACGTGTGCTGACATCGACACCGCTTCGGTTATTCCTACTGAAGTAATGCTACACTAAAGAAAGATCGGGAAACTACTGAAGCACGCAACACACACACACACACACACTACTGTCTGTCAGCTATAAATAATCTTAAACCGGTGTCCTATAGATTCAGTAAGCAGCGGAGACGAAGGGTTCACGGCTCATCTAACCCTTCACGGAGTGCGAGTTGCAGAAGTCTAACAGTCAGAAAGGTAATTTGGCAACATGTGAAGAGAGGAAGGGTTTAAAGCAGCGACACGAGACTAAATATTCCAGGAAACGCCATCTTCATCATCATCATCATCATCGCTGTGGGTTTATGGGTCTACGATGCCTTCCCGTGCTGTTGGACATTTCTTCCCACTTCTGAAGTCGTGATTACGAGCTCGTCGCGCTCCGGTTCTTATTAAAGCCAAAATCATATTTAGCATCCCATTTATTGACAAGCATATAAACATTCACTGCACTGCATTTGGAATATCGGTCATATACGGGCTATTTCCACTGCGTTTAAAACATACAATGTGCTTCAAATTATTATTCATACGTGTAAATATGCACTACTTTAACATCAAGACAAGATGTTGTGGCTGTTGAGGAAAACGAATAAAGAGTAGCAGTTCCAGCAGCAATCGTTCTCTTCTCCGACATGTTTACAGTTTATGGGACGCCCAGCTCGGTTTCCCAGAAGTAAATATGACTTGAGAGGGCGTTCATGTCCAAACTCCAACTAGGAATTTTCAACTAGGCATTTCCGACTAGGAAACTCCAACTAGGAATTTCTGACTAGGAATCTCAGACTTGGAATTTTTTAATAGGAAACTCGAACTAGGAATTTCCGACTAGGAAACTCCAACTAGGCATTTCTGACTAGAAATCTCAGACTTGGAATTTTTTATCTAGGAAACTCCAACTAGGCATTTTCGACTAGGAAACTCGAACTAGGAATTTCTGACTAGAAATCTCAGACTAGGAATTTTTTACTAGGAAACTCGAACTAGGAATTTCCGACTAGGAAGCTCCAACTAGGAATCTCAGACTAGGAATTTCTGACTAGGAAACTCCAACTAGACATTTCTGACTAGGAAACTCGCACTAGGAATTTCTGACTAGAAAACTCCAACTAGACATTTCTGGCTAGGAAACTCAGACTTGAAATTTTTTACTAGGAAACTCGAACTAGGAATTTCCGACTAGGAAACTCCAACTAGGCATTTCTGACTAGGAATCTCAGACTTGGAATTTTTTATCTAGGAAACTCGAACTAGGAATTTCAGACTAGGAAACTTCAACTAGGCATTTCCGACTAGAAATCTCAGACTAGGAATTTTTGACTAGGAAACTCAAACTAGGAATTTCCGACTAGGAAGCTCCAACTAGGAATTTCCGACTAGGAAACTCGAACTAGTAATTTCCAACTAGGAATCTCAGACTAGGAATTTCTGACTAGGAAACTCCAACTAGACATTTCTGACTAAGAAACTCGAACAAGGAATTTCCGACTAGGAATCTCCAACTAGGCATTTCCGACTAGGAAACTCCAACTAGGCATTTCTGACTAGAAATCTCAGACTTGAAATTTTTTTACTAGGAAACTCCAACTAGGCATTTTCGACTAGGAAACTCGAACTAGGAATTTCTGACTAGAAATCTCAGACTAGGAATTTCCGACTAGGAAGCTCCAACTAGGAATTTCCGACTAGGAAACTCGAACTAGTAATTTCCAACTAGGAATCTCAGACTAGGAATTTCTTACTAGGAAACTCCAACTAGACATTTCTGACTAGGAAACTCGCACTAGCAATTTCTGACTAGAAAACTCCAACTAGACATTTCTGGCTAGGAAACTCAGACTTGGAATTTTTTACTAGGAAACTCGAACTAGGAATTTCCGACTAGGAAACTAAATTGGTCATGAATGCCCTCTCAAGCTATATTTACTTTGGAAAACCCAGAGATCATTTTGATGGAGAAATAGCCTGTATTTGTCTGAAATTCCAGAAAGATTCTAGATAATGCGGTGAATGTTTATATGGTTGTCAATCATTTTGGCTTTCATAAGATTTCCACATTAAATAGGCAAGAATAAACCTGGTGTCCTCCATGATTTCTGTCTTTTCTAACAACAAAGCACTTGAACATGACAAGCTTGTGAAATCATGACTTCAGAAGTAGGAAATTTCCATTAACACGTAAAAAAATCATCATACGCCACATATTTAACTACGTTTATGGTTCCTTTGATAATGAGATTATGCCTTCATATGATACCGGAAATTTCCTACTTCCATGCTATTGTAGCCGTGTATAAAACATACAATATTTTAATTATTCATATTTATGCACAACTTTAACATAAAGACAAGGCAATGTAGCGGATGTAGAAAAATTAATAAAGAATAGCAGTCACAGCAGCATCGCCGTGTGTAAAGTTTATGGTCCAACTCGGAAACTCGGATGTCATAATCATCCCCGGACAACCTAGAGTTAAATACGATTTGAGAGGAAATTAAATTTCTGACTTCAACTAGGAAATTTCCAACTAGAATATTTCGGACTAGGAAACTACAACTAGGAATTTCCAAATAGGATTTTCCGACTAGGAAATTTCTGACTAGGAAACTACAACTAGGATTTACCGACTAGGATTTTCCGACTAGGAAACAACAACTAGGAATTTCCAACTAGGAATTTCCGACTAGGAAACTCATATTTAGGATAATTCCAATAGCACATGAAGGCAGCGTTAAACCCATTTTTGATCAATTAAATGCAGCCTTGGCGAGCAGAAGAGACTTCATTGAAAACTTTTAAAAATCCTAATGATTTCTTATTTTAACCGGTAGTGTACATACTGACACGATTTCCTCTAGGGAAATGGATGAAAATACTGATGATCTTTAATTGAGGAACCAATATATGTATATACTGTTGAAATGTACCTCCTCCAAAACTATTAGTAAATGATGGTTGATGATGTAAACTAATGACTACTGGATATTTACATTGAGTCCTTCAGGAATAAACGCTACGTGGGGTCTTTAAAGGAAACGCTGATGTAGAAATGCTCATGTGATCACCCTCATGTAGAATTAAATCCACATGACTGCAGTTCATCTCACTGTAAACAGATTTGCCAATGCATTTTCCATTTCTTTAGAAGAAAAACTAAACAAATGACTCTCCGATTGAATTCTACGGTAGAATTTCTGCTTTAAAGTGCTGTGGAGGAAGTCAAGCATCTCGAACGGCTGGAAAACACCGACATCTGAAGCACAGACGAGGAAAACCGGAGGAAATGTCATGCACACATAATCAGACATTCAAGTGAATTCTATTGGAGGAAAGTGTAACCAGTAAACCTGTATGACTTGTGTCAAATCAGTTCTGATATGAGGATGAAAGAAGAATAACTTCCCTCACTCGTGTGTGTTGGCTAGTCCTATAGTTAGTCTTCTCACAGCGCATGAAAGCCAGAAACTCTGTGCTGAATTCAAAAGGCACCCAATAATAACTCATGTATGTAAACATACAAATGCATGTGAAATAATAATGAATCCTCGAGCAGCTTTATGTGTTTCTGCTTCCAAGACAATAAATGTGAAGACGAAGAGCTCTTCCTCAGTTTCAGGGGGTGTCGTCATACTCGAGCGTGTTGATCTGCCTCTATAATCTCTATTTTACATCATGCTGTAGAGATACGTTGCATAGAAGTTCAAACTTGCTGTAGGCGACGGCTCTGATCGTGGGGTTTAAAGGCATGGCGAGCGCTAGCAGCTTCCAGGAGACGAGCAGACCGAACCGCACATGCTCAGCTTGGACGTCTCGGGTTCGGGTTCGGTCTCTTCGTCCTCCGTTCCTCCTTCGGCTTCGGCTTCATCGGCGTCTGGATCTCCATCTCCATCTGCTCCCATGCAGCCCTCCTCCTGCCGGCGCTTCAACCTGAACACACACACATCTGCTGTAAAACACACACAACTGCATCGGTCCTGTATGGGATCAATATCCCGTCAAAAGAACTGCGGTTGTGAATCAAAAATGTAAAAGTGTATCGCACAAACTGAAAACAATAATGCAGAATGACCAGAAAAGCAAGCGTGATGTCACCTCCCCTCCTCGACTGATTGGCTAGAAGAGGAGCTGTCAATCTGGAACTAGTGGACCAATGGTGACGCTTCAGCCCGCCCTAATTTACATAAACTCGAACTGCAACATTTGGAAAATATAGTGCAGAACGTGGAAAGGCAGCTTACGAGTAAAATATGAGCAGAAAATGTAAGAGGGCACAAAATACAGCGTAATAAAGCCAAGGAAAACATCATTTTGAAGGAAACATGAACACAAGTTTAAGTTTTGTGCAGTACCAGTTTTTGTGTGTTTAACCCTTGTGCTGCATTAGATTTTTTACACCGTTGAGTGCATTAAGGACCAAAAATGGCCACATATTAAACATTGCCTAAAATATTATATATTATTATTATTTTCCACTTTTACCAAGTTAAATCTTTTAACCAGCATCAGTCCTCATCATAACTACCAAAAATGTATTCAATTTCAGGATTTTAACCCTTTAATTACCAGTTTTGTTTGCGAAACCATCGATTTGTATAAGAGGAAAAAACACAAAAATTCAATTATTTTCAATAAACTAAATGCAAAGAGATTATCACAGTCCCACTTTGCAAAAAATCCCACTTAGCGCATTAGAGAACATTGCCTATTGCCTAAAATAAGGTGCATTTCCACCCATAGGGAATAAATATGTAGTGACGTCATCTGGTGGAATACACTATATAATGCAAATATAATGCTTTTGCTTCAAAATGAAAGGATGTTTGTGCAAAAATCATGTTTCATGTATTACTGACAGCCTCAGATTTAAACAACGTTTTAATGGGTTTCAATGGGCCATTTTTGGTCTTTATGGTGCTGAGTGTTACTATTTGATCTACACAGTGTGTGTTATACATATTTTGCAAAATGGGATCACATTTTTTACATGTATCCAAAAAGTCACAATTTTGCCAAATTTCATACCTTTTGCATTAAAACAGCCAAAATGGTCAAAGAAATTAAACTGCAAAAGACCAAAAATGTCCCTAATGCAGCATAAGGGTTAAGGTTTAAAGTGGAGAAGAAGTGGACCCTTTACGCTCCGACATGCATCAGTTCATCATATAAAGACATTTGGGCATAAACCGCTAAATTCATATAGATGAATCAAAGCCTTATTGGTTTGGAACGACATGAGTTAAGTCTCCATTTCTATAGTGCTTTTAGAATAAAGATATTTCACAGCATCTCTCCAGAGATAACAGGAGATTACAGTCACAGAGAGGGTTTTACAGCAGATCTACAATAAAGTTATTCTCCAGATAAAGTTAGTTTTGATTGATTCACTTCCGTTGTAAAGATCATTAGTGATTAACGAACACCACACCGCTCTACATGCGTTATCACATACTTAGTCTATAGATATGCGTGTTTGAATGCGTGTGTGCAGGAGCGTCGTCTTTCTTTACAAACTGACATCGTCGGGTACTTGTCTGGCCTGCGTAATACTGCGTTTTTAGTCAATCGATGACGATTTCATCAGTACAGAGAGGAAACCTGATGATTTTTGAGTGATTGATGACAGAATATTCATTTGTGGGTGAACTAACCCGAATCTTCAAGAAAACATGACACAGCTCAGAACTGTTTATATTCTCACTTTTCACGGTTGAAGATCATGAACTCCTGCTGGACGACTTCAAGGCACTCCTGAAGATACTCGTTCTCCTGCAGGAAACACACAGCCATCAGCCAGCGCTCTCAGTTATCGAGTCCATTATCTGTTATTTATACATCGTTCATGGAGCGTAATTTTCCTCAAAGGTTTCAGTTGGATGTTGGTCGTCTGTTTCGAAACGTTACTATTGTTTCAGAGAACATTCATAAGTAACGTTTCAATAACATTTGAAGAACGATTGCATGACCAAGAAAAAAAAAACATTTATAAACAAAACTCTGATGTTTATATGATGTCTGAATATAATTTAATGAATTTTGATAGTTTTATGAAATTTTCCTTTCTTAAACTAATTTATAAGTGCATTCATAATCTAGCACCTGAGCCACTACATTTATTGTGAGAAACTCTTTATCTTTTGAAGTCAAGACTGTGTCAGACTTTAAGATGTTCATTTCCAGGCTGAAAAATTGGTTAAAAATAAACCAAAACTGTACTCATTTTTAACTACATTTAATTATTAGAGTTGTATATGATATGTATGTATGCTTATTAGTATTATTTTTTATTATTATTATTTTTATTATTATTATTGAAGTAGCTAATCATGTAAATTTTATTGTGTATAAAAGCCCTTCCAGGGACAGGAGTTGAAAATTAGCTATAGCTATAAACTTTATATGCAACACTTCAGTGACATGCTTGATCTTGACACTATGTTTGTTTGCATTGTCCCTGTCAAATAAATAAATAAATAAATGTTTAACTGAATGGGAACGTGAGGAAAACGTTCTCCGAATGTATTTTAGTCAGCTGTTATTGTGTCGAGCGCCGAACACAGAATCCAACTGGAAACACCCAAAATAGCCTGGCGTGTTTCAGGAGAAGCTGCAGCTCTGAAAGCTTCATAATTTAATCATCCAGGTAATAATGCCTTCGCTTCCGGCGTCTCCAGACCATAGAGGCTTATCTTCAGTAAGAGGAGCGAGATGACCTCATCGACATGTGACCACAGACACGCCTCATTATCATGTGATCTGATCACAGACACGCCTCATTATCATGTGATCTGGTGCGAGAATCATGTGTGTGTGAAGATTCGTCAGCCGTCAGGCTCAATATACTAAACAAGCAGCGCTCTTATAGTTTAAATGTCACAGTCATTTTCACTCACAGACTGAGAATCTTTGCTGTTGTCTCTCGATCTGTTTTTCGCCAGTCGCTTCTTCTTCTTGTGAAGCGGCCGAGACTCCAGGATCATCTCCTCCAGTTCAAAGGTCGGATCGCAATGCAGACGCCCTTTCTGTGTGAGAGAAGAGAATCTAGCAGTGTTTCTTCACCATGAGTGAGTGTGTGTGTGTTTACAGCGTCTAAAACTAAGAAAATCTGTCAGTGCAGAACATTTACAGGCTATAAATGTGGTTTTACTGGCTATGAAACGGTATTTCACATCACAGCCTTAAAATAGATATTTTGCCTTTGGAATGATTATTTAAAGACTCGATGTCACTGTGTTTTTTATTCAAGCAGGACGTTTAATAAGTAAGGACGTTGCTTTTCTTGCTTTCTTGGAAAAACAAGAAAGCAAGTTCACTTTGAATTAAAGCAAGCATGTGTGTGTGTGTGTGTGTGTGTGTTCGGTCACTACTGAAACTCAATCTCACATTGGGAACGAACCCAGGCTCCATCTTCTTCTCGTACACATCGTCCCAGCTGACGTCGGAGAGATAGGGAGCCGTCTGCATCTGAGCCAGACTACAGAACCGGTGCTCGGGGTTCACTGTCAGTAACTGCAGAATCACAGAACACAAGCAGTTACACACACACACACACACACACACACGTGCTCCTCGCGGTTAAAAATGAGCGCATTTGAAATGGAGATTTCCTCTAGTGGAAGCGTGTGGTACTGCAGCCGAACACACTCACTGAACACTCCTCTACTGAGATATCAAACTCACATTTGGATTTGGAACACAACTTGTTTAGATTTATGGCTTTGATTTTCTTGCAGTTTTAGGCCGTGTGTCCACCAAAACGTTTCAAAACGTTAGACGCTCTGCTGAAGACGCCGTTCTTTGGGCGCTTGAGAGCGTTTTGTCAGCGTAGCGTTTTTTCCGTTGAGACGTTTCGTTGCTATGATACAGAATATCCGCAGCAGTTGAATGTTGTGACTGTTGGTCGTGTGGTATTGGTCCCGCCCCTCCTCCACTGTGATTGGACGGCTGGGTAAAAAGTGACAGTGATGAGCACTGCGTTTTATCCAAAGTTGAACATTTTTCAACTCCCAGCGACCAGTAAAAAACGCCGGGCGCTCGGCGCTTCAGCGTGAAAACAACGCTCAGCGCCACAGTACGCTCATGGCGTTTAAAAAACGCTGCGCTCCCATTGAAAACATACGCCAGGCACGTGGAAAAATGCTTTGGTGGACACACGGCCTTAGAGTATAAAAAATATAAACAATGAAAATAGTATTTACATGCATTTTTCATAACAATACACATAACATTCTGTAACTTTTTTTTAAGTTCACTTTTTAAAACTTTTTTTCACTTTAGAAAAAAAGCCAAGTGTCGTTTTCGAAAATAGATCAAAGAGATTTACCACAGTTTAAGTTGGAAATGTAATTTTCAAACTAAAAAATAGTACACATTTCATTGACAAATCACTTTTGACCTAAAAGAGGAAGGTCTGAGAATCCCACAATGCTCTTCTCCTCTGTATGTAACTGATCTAATATCTCTCCTGGCTCCTCTGTTCTTCACTCCTATCTATTATTTCTCTGTCTCTCCACTTATCTCTCATTATGATCCGCTCCTCTTTCTCTCGCTCATCTCAATCCTTCCCTTGATTCATTCTCTCCTGCATCATTAGTGTTTCATGTTCTCTTCATTCATTCCGACTCCATCTGTGTTCCGTCTATTTTCATTCCTCTCCATCTTTTTCCATTTAATCCTTATTAATGCAGTTTGTTGAGGAAGAGGCTTGTTAAGAACTCACCTAACAATGACCTATAACACCATAGCAACCATCTAGAACACCCTAGCAACCGCCCAACTAGAATGTCATGAGAATAAGAGTACTGTATGTGAGTGTGTGTTGATGATGGATCAGATGAGCTCTCACCTTCCTCAGCAGAGACACGAGGTCTTTGTGCCACGAGGAGCTGTACTGAACACTGACGGTGCTGAACAACTGCAGCAGAGACTCCACCGAATTACTGCCGTGGATCTCATACGGCCTCTGAGAGACAGACAGGCAGACAGTGAGACACATTCAAACACATGCAGTCAGTCTGCTGATAATCAGTTTAGTTCTGTATGAATCTGCACAGTCCAAGATGGTTGACCAGAGAAGTTAAGCCAGTTAAGAATCAATCCTAGCAGGAAACTTCAGTCCAGAAGCCACTGGTGTACTGGTGACCCATCAGCACTGGTAGATGACCTAAACCACTGCCATCTTTCTTTTGGAAAACGCAGCCCTGGGGTCTCATTCACAAAACGGGGCTGGAAACATTCGTACGCCAGTTTCCACGCAAAGTTTGTGATCTATAAATAACAAACTTGACGGGAGAATGCGCGCACCATTAAGCAAACTTTGAGCCGTGCGTACGCACATTCTGGAGACAAAGGGGATTGGAGACGCCGATGGTGAAATCTCTTTTTGGTCACTTTTAGACTGAAAAAATAAAGATAATAGCCTACAAATAAAATTTCACTCACCAAGCCAATCACTTGAAGCCAGTATCCACCTCTTCTTAAGTGTCCGTGCCAGCACGGATCGTTTAGTGAAACTGACGCACATAATCTAACGGCAGATGAACCGTAAATCTTCATGAGTAGGCTAATAAATACAGTGCACGTTCTCAATAACAGTTTAAATAAATGAAATAATGATTTAAACTATATTTTACTTCTAATATAAAGAAGCCATTCTCGTTAATGAATTTAAACACTTTAACTACATGAAATCATTACTGAGAAGTTACACAATAAATAGAAATATATATTTGTTGTGGATGCAATGCTTTTGAACACTTTCCCTCTGGCATGCAGTGTTTTAATGTTTTATCTAGAGATAATTGCTCATCATGATAATAGCAGATTGTCTGAGAAAATAGTTCCAAATGATCCACAACCATGTCTATCTGTTTCCATTAAAAATATAAATTCATTAAAAATACTATTTGGCCAGTGGAAAAGATTGAGAAAATCTTTCTCTGAAATGTATTTGATTTATTCATTCAAAAACAAGGCAAGGATATAGGCTACTAAAAAAATAATAATAATAATAATTTATTGTGACACGGCACATCTGTATTTCATATTTTCATATGATCTCACGTGGATGAATAATCACATGCAAATGATATGCAGATGAGGATATGCATATTTAAACTAGGCGTTGTAAGCTCCATATATGGTTATTTCGGGGAGGAGAAGCAAGTGCACTCATTCTTCCGCTGACTGGGATTTATAAAGGGATTTCTGCGCAGGTTCTGGCGTACGCACGGTTTTATAAATCTGAATAATTTTTAGCGTACGCCATTTTTGGCTTTCGGGCGCACGTACACTTTTAGTAAGGATCCTACGCACAGTTTTACAAATGAGACCCCTGGTGACTATAATATCCCAGCTCACAAAAACATGTTCTAAGAACATCCCATTAAATATATATTTCTGAATATTCAAAATGTCCAGTTTATTAAACATTTTAAAAAGTTTTTCTTCTTCTGGTTATGAGAGCGCTCAGGGAAAATTCCATTCTTCAATCGTTACGGAAACGTGGTTCGTGAAACAATTAGAAACATTTAAATAAAAAAAACGTTAGATGAACGTCCAACTAAAATGTTTCCGAAATCATGTTTTTGTTCTAACGTTTTGAGAACATTATTAAAGACCAGATGACTTTGAATGAATGCTCTATTATTGTTACAGGAAGAACGTTTGTTCATAGTACCGGCCCACATGTGGATTCCACAAAGCCCGGATGTGGGCCGGATCTGGGCCGACAGTATGTTGCTGTCTGGGTTCCCTGTGAGAGAAGAGTTCAATCTTACCCAACCTCGCAGAACCTCAAAGATCGTGACGCCCAGCGACCACCAGTCCACCTCAAGAGCGTAACCGGTTCCTCCGCTCACAAACGACTGGAAGATCTCTGGAGCTGTTAGACACAATAACAGGCTTTCAGACGGGACCATCTCATCTGGACCGACTCTGGCTAACAGCAGAAACTGCAGTAAAGTGCGGGATGATGTCCGTCTAGCCGGTTGTTATCTCAGAATAAACCCGACAGTATCAGGTCTAACCAGGTACTAAGTAATTAGTTACTGTAATTTAATTACTTTTCCCTTGAAAATGTAAAGTAAGGGATTACTCTTTATTTATCTGTAATTTAATTACAGTTACTTCTGATGTAATTGAGGTAAATACTGTGTATAGATCAATCCGATCTCACATGCATTTTATGAGGTGTCTAAATCGTACGACCGCACTCGTACAAATTCATATGAATAATTGTAAAGTATGTATGAAAAAAGTGTGAAATGTCATGAGATCAGACATAAAACAATAGTGGGTTTAATATCAAAATGTATTGTCTGATGTTAAAAAGTATGTTTTTATAGTGTGACCTTCTCCACCTTGGTCAGTTTAAGGATAATTCATGCAATTTTATAGTATTTATTTGAAAGAATTAAAACAGATTCATGTCTATCCTTGTATTATTCAGCTGGTTGAGATTGATATGGGATTTTGAAAGTAATTAGTAATTAAAAGTAATTAAATACTTTTTAGAGAGAGTAATTAGTACAGTAATCTAATTACACGGTTGAAGAGGTAATTAGTAACTAGTAATTAATTACTTTTTTAGAGTAACTTACCCAACACTGGGTCTAACACACACACACACACACACACACACACACACACACACACACCTGAAGGGGTTTATTCTGAGATAACAACAGGCTGGACATACATTATCCCGCTTATTACACGGCTACTTGGCACATACGTAAATAATTAGATGCAAAATATTGAAATATGTTATTAAATCAGTGCACAAAACAATAGACACAAAATGGCCGCCGCTGCGCTTGTATGAAATAAGAGAGAGCGAGTCCACGATACTGGATGGAGTAATGAAATAACTACACAAAATATTGATTCGACTGAGTTTTAATATTTTACAAGCTCACCAAAGCAGAACTTGCGCAAAGAAAACCTGTTCCTAGCGAGTGTATAGTGACCCTAGGAATAACTCACCACTGGATGGCGCTATTGACCAATCAGGATCAAGTATTCCACTGAGCCGTGTAATAATTTAGTTTAACACACTAGTTGTGTCAACAATACTCAAACACACTCCTAGTTTCAGTTTAAGAGCTGAATGTTCCTGCTCTTTTTAAACAATTAGCATGACTTTTCCATTGTTTCGGGTTTACTGGATCCGGAATCGTTATCGCAGTTTTAATTTATATGCTGTTGAATGTTTGATGATCGTGTTATTTTACATGTAATGCTTCTCTCGTAATGTGTTCTGATCCAGAGATTCGGTTCTCTTTCAGGAGATGCGTAATAGCGCCCCCTACGTATAACACAGAAAACAGGGATGCATGGAAAATACCGTCTAGAGCTAAAAATGTCTTTAGTTATGTATTTTAAGAAGTGATCATCACTGAAAGGTTGCAGAAGCAGAAATGTCATTCCGCGACCGATGAGAGAATATATAAAACAGAAAACAGTTTATGATGATTTCTCTCTTTAAAAGATGGAGCGCTGCACTGATGAACGCGCCGCTTGAGTTCGCGATCTTGTAGATGAGCGGATGTGTCTTACCCATGTAAGGCTTCGTACCCGCTAGCGCTGTGGCTCGTTCTCCGTCCTTGATTATCGTAGCGATGTTAAAGTCTGTTAAATGTGCGTGACCTGAAGAACAACAGAGAGACGAGTGAGAACGAGACAGGAGCGTGCAATTATTCATTCTTTATTAGAAGGGAAAGTCATGAATAGACACACACACACACACACACACACACACACACACACACCTCACCTTGCTCGTCCAGGAGGATGTTGTCAGGTTTGATGTCCCTGTGTGGAGAGAGAATGACATCATCGCATCAGTTTCTATGACATCACAGTTTCAGTCAAACACCTTCACTTGATGCACACGTCACGTCGTCTGAGACTGACAGCATCTGAGTGTGTGTGTGAGACTCTCGTTCTGAAAGATTTGTCGGCCTTCCTTTGTGTGAATGCTCAGTTCTCAGGGGGCCGTCACAGTTTCAACACACTCACTAATTACAACGAGCGCACACACACACACACACACACACACACACACACACAATATTTAAGAATAAAGCCCTGTCCAGCTTAAGCCGCACTCTGCTTCCCTCACAGCTAATTAACAGCCAGCTGATTCCCTGCTGTCATGATGATGCCAGAGAGCATGATGGGATTAATTCATGCAGATCTGACACACACACACACACACACACACATAGAGCGTGCTGAAAAAAGACGCATCCTTAAAGGGATCTCCAACATCATGCAGAGAGAATTTCATCCAGATACTTTCTTTCTGAATCAAACATCAGTCTGTGGGAAACTCAACGTGACACACACACACACAGGCTGTTGCTATGATATTCTGGGTAGTTGCTAGGGTGTTTCTAGGGTGTTATGAGTTAGACACATGACTTGAGGAATCACAGCTGTCAGTCATGTGCCAGACTTTGATTAAAGCAGGATTCGTCAGATTCAGTTTCTTCATTCGATTGCCTCGGCTCCTGTTTTCGGGATCCTCCACCGGGACTAAATATACCTCTGTTGCAGCGTGACAGGCCACACTGTTGCTAGGAGACACTTCTCCCCAACTTAGTGCAAATAAATAACACTAGAGACAGAAACACTCCCTCGAAAGATGCGGAGAGAAGCTTAAACCACCGCTGGAGAAACAATGTGACTAAATACAGCCTGACTAAAACACACACACATCGTATGCATTTTAAATTATTACTGATTAGGTTAAAAAAACACTAAATGGTACTTTAGTTACGAGATCTTAACGCTCTATAGTCCGTCACGTCTATTGCGATGGACGTGGAATAATCTTCCTAACACTGTCTGGGAAGCAGACACTTCAAATCTAGACTAAAACACATCTCTTTACAGTTTTTCCCAATTGCTAACACACAATTTTGCAAACTAGTCTGGTTTTATCAAAATATTTCCTCA